TTCAGCAGGGGGTTAATATACGAAGCTGAAATATCAGAGCGACATCGGAAAATATGAGTAGTTTTAGGACCCATTCATTCCCGCGGCGGCATTATTTCACTGGCAAATTTATGGGGACACCGCGACGTTCCGTACCTCCATTAGCGTCACCTAAAATTGTTCATTCACGGAACGGGTGTTTTCAATTACTCCCTGAAATTGCCGGCCGCGGGGGAGAACAACTCTTTGAGAGGGGGGGATTTAAGAATTAATTTAGATAGTCTGAGAACTCGTCTTTTAAGAATCATTAAACTCCAAGCAGTTCCGCCCGAGTTCTCGTGGCTTTTGTCCCTGCTTTTGTAATCAACCGTATTTTCTAAACACACCCGTTTCTTCCTTTACGCACCGACGTCGTAGCGCAGTCTCTCTCGCCACGCGATTATCACAAAGACGAACCGCTGGTTACTCGTACTTAACCATGCTTAATAGCTTCCGCGCGTCCATTCGAATTCATCCGCGTGCTTTTATTCCGTTTGTCGTATAAATTACCGGCTCCGACCCCACGGCGAGTTCCTTTTACCCCGGTTGTTCGGCTTTTCAGCCGTATTTCGTGCACTTTCCCCGAGCTTTTATTAAATCGATCACCCCGACGCAAACAGCCAGTTCGTTCCCAGCGAAAATTGTGATTTCGTTCGAGGCAAGGATACGCTCTCGCGTTCGTTGCGTTCGACACCGCGTCCGATCCAATTACGACCAGCTATTTCGTTGCTTCCTCCACTTGCCGCATTAACGCGTGTTATTTTCGATCATCGATTAACGCTGCCGGCGATGCCGATGCCATCGATTACACCTGATCGGGATGCCAACCATACGTCGCACTCGCGCGAAAATCGCTCCGCGAAGGCTTCGGGGGTGGCTCGTCGAAACGCTCGTGCGGCGGTGGTCGGAGAAATTTGAAGATGGCTGCCGTGATCGTGGAGGATGAGAGCAACGCGATGGGTAAACTCGCGGCGAATACAGCGAAACATGGCACAGGTACGTGTTTAGATGTTCATTAGGAGATAAGACCGGGAAGTAGTCGGCGAGGCAACAGCAGAATGTTCTTTGTCGCGAAATTTAACGCTCGTAAGTTTGTCCCATCGTGTACGAAATCACCGTGCTATTATTTTCCGCGAGATAATTAAATGTCGCGGAGGAGAACGCTTTGTGTTTACCCGTGGGCTTGCAACTTCTTGAACGGCGACGGTAATTAATTGATAACGGCACACGCTCAGTCGAGCGAGTGCGTCGAGTACGAGCCGAGCGTCGGTGGTTCCCGGAGAGGCGGGGAGGTTAGGCGAAAAGACGGAAGGCGGCACGCGAAGATCGTTAGGATCGGAATCGGAAGAACAAGCTGTGTATGGAAATTAGTCAGTTTGCAGTGCTGGAATTCAGTTGTCAGACGTTGTTTGCATTTACATTTATCATGGGTGTCGCGCAGTGAAATCCGCTTCGGGCCGCCTCGTGTGTGGGAGGACGTGCACGGACAAATGCCGGCACCGATCCAACCACCTATGCGGTGGGTAAATTCTGGCACGCCAACAATTATGTTGGACTACAGCGTTACACGATCCACGAGACAAGTGGTGTCCGGCATACTACTGCACATGCATCAGAACAAACACTTCCGGTCAACATTAGCGGAATGGCCAGCACAGGGACTCGAGCACCGACGACTGCGAGTCAGATGTCCACGCTGTGATTCTCTATGTCCCAGCAGAACTGGAGGGTCTGCACGGTAGCGGAACGTGGCCCAAAGTCTACAGGGAACTAGGAGCGTGTAAAAGAAGCGCCATTTCGCTGTCCGTTTCGAGGACAAAGGAACTAGGTCGATACACGTACGACGCGGATCCTTCCAACGGATACGGATCTGATCTTATCGCGCGATGACGATAACATGGAGATTGTAAAGCCAGTCGAAGAACCCGAATTGACGCGGGGTTAGAGCCGAGGAACTTACGAATCATCTCGAGATCGAGGGATTCCAAGACCATTCCAGAGTCTGGGGATTTTCCAGCAACCACCCTAACTCGATGGAACCATCAAGAACCACCTTGGGTGTCGAAAGACCCTTCGCTGGACTGTCTTGGGTTAAGAACTTGGCACGAACCACCTAGTTGGCCGGGGGATTCGTCACAACCCATTCTAGCGTTCTATCTTGGACATTCCGGATTCAACGCTACTGATCATGGATTATAGTCTGGCTCTGAGGCGGTTTAGAGCGTTAGATTATCTCGGGGTAGTTTAAGGTGGGCTCTTCAATTCCGGGGTGATCCGTGACGGATCTTGGGGTAGTCCGTACTCGGCTCCGGGACTCAGAGATAATTCAGAGACGTGTCAGGGACGTGTACCGACCCCAAAATCGACTCGGGATCCTACGTACCCAGGCTGATCTCGAGTAAATCCTTCGATTTTGACGTAGTCCTCTGATACTGGGATTTTTTCACTGTTTATACGATCTCGGAGCGTGGTCCGAAGCGTGTCGCTTCTAAGATGCTCAGTAGCGAGTTTCAATATCTGGCGCCAGTTTAGAATTGAAATAGCCCGAAATCCCTTGGGATTACGGGACTTCGGGGGGGATTCGAATCGAACCGACTAATTTCGAAACCTCGAATTTTACTGTACAGCGGTATGTCTTATCCGCAGCAGCGCTTGCTGCGAATTTTCACCGAACGTTCGCAACGATTTTAATCCGAACGGCATACCCTTCGACGCCTACCCTTGCATCATTATCGCGAATACGCGCGAGCTTCGGATATTATATTCGTTTGTTTAAGCGATCGCGATAGAATCGTATGTTTTGAAACCTCGTTACAATCTCGTATGCATATTACACGATTATAACCACCGCCTGCGCGAGTATATGCACGCGTATAAATAATTTTGAATCGGCACCGATTAGTATCAACACGCATTTCATACTCTGCGTTTATTCCGACTTCTGGGTCACGTTCCAAATAACTCTGCCTAATAGAAAATGCACGCTATTTTAGTAAATCGTATTTGAGTTTGATCGATCATTACCATTACCGCAAGTAGGTCACCGTGTGCTGGAATCTATTGGAAGAAACCGGTTATGCCATTTCTTGCCCGAAGGGAGGTCGTCAAGCGAATAATGTCGAAATATACCGGTGCACTGGGCCGCGAGGGTAGCTTTGACAACGTTCCCAACGATTCTTTGCCTATCCTTTGTACGACTCCCATTGTGATCGGCCACATTGGATCGTGCACTTGCAACGTACAGTTTAAGCTCCCGCGTTATTACTTATCGCAACCGCGGAGCATCAGCATTCTCCCTTAACGATGATTCTCTTCCCCTAACCTGCACGACGTAGCAACGAAATGGAGGATTAAAGAAAAAGGAAAGCAGGAATCTCCGTTGTTTCTAGAATTTCCCGAAACATACCCACCTGCTTTTTATTCCTTTAAACATTTTCTCTCGGTAATTTCTTGCCAACCTCGCCTCAGTTCCCGTCTACCCGCGCTGCCCCTCTCGCTTAGACGTCGATAACTTGCTGCTCCGCGAAGAGCAAAAAGGCGACGAAGCGGGAGAAAGAATTTTGAAGGGTACACGACGTTGAACCATAAATCTGTTCACGGAATATCGTGCGTTTTCGCGGCGATAGACGAACGGCTGGCCGTGTCGTTCCGATAGCTTGGCGTGAAACGGAACGATTTTACGCGATTTCACCGTTTCCACCCGACTCCACCCTCGTGCAAACGGTTTCGTGCCGGATGCCGAGGTCGTGATAATTATGTTAAACGATATACACACGTAATAAAGAGGCTTCGAGACTCACCTTGTGGCCGGCGACTGGAACGACGTAGGTGGATGCGATCGACAGCAGGAGGAAGTAAAGGGCCGGGATCTCCAGCTTCCGTCTCATCTGTAACAAACTCGCGGCTATTAACAGGGTTTCCTCGATCCTCGTGCGAAGTTTCAGTCGACCGATCCGAGTTATGGTTCCGGTCTCGCGTATTTTATCGCGCGGCGAAGAGAAACGCGTTTAAATGATCCGTCCATGATGCATAGCGATATAAGAATGGTAGCACGTGCGTGACGAAACGCTGCAACGATCGGTTCACGCATGCGTTTCGTACGTGAACAATTATTTTTCGCATTTCGACCCATTAATCGGGCAGTTGGTTTATCGAAAACGCGCGGCGCGCGTGATGGGAAAAATTCGCGGTGACGAACTCGTGCTGGCAATAAGTGCAAACTGTATTGGAATTTCCGCCATTGCGAACGAAATAAATATCAAATTGCAGCGACTGCTCTCGACGGGAACAAAAGCGAGTGCGAAAAATATTTGGAAATATCGGCAATCATGGTGATAATAAATAAATGGTATATCGAGTTCAATTAACTCGTCTCCGGTTAATGGGTCAGCGATAATTTCGCGTTTGCAATTTCCTATGGGAGAAGGAGCATTTGGCGGAAGATCCAGCAGCCACGTTCACGCTCGACTAAATCATCGATCACCCCTGCGTACCAAGTAGTTTATAAAACGCAGCGATGATCGTGGTGTTCGGTTAATTTATTCAACGGACAGAGGTTGGGGAATAAATGTTTATCTAGTCCGCAGTGGCTGGTTTTCAATTAGCCGGCGAACAAGATCCCCTTTGATTAGAATCCCTTACGATTCTCGGGACGAAGCGTGTCCTAGAATTTAAACGGTTCCTTGCCAACCAGCGATCCACCACCGAGATCTTTCCTGCCCTTTAATTTCCTCGCTGAAGCTTAATTGTTCGTACGATATTTAATCGCCTCGCCGTTCTTCTTCTGGCAATCCGTTCGTTCGCTTTCTCTGCTGAACACGTCGTTTTTATAAATCGCCTGGAACGAGCGACGAGCCCATTGCAGCCCTGGGAGCGTTTTAGAGTATCTTTTCCACGGGGGACGTCGAAATATTGGCTGAAACGAGCGTTCGCGGATGGATTGCCACGGCCATGTGTATTCCGATAAACCGGTGACACGGTTATGGTGAAGGAGAACTTACATACGCAGTCCGTACTCGTTTCTAATCGCCTTATCGCAAAGGCGATTCGTCAAATGCTCGCATCCGTGTGACCTGCTTACCGTGCGAGAGCGAATATCACGCACGCGAAAATGAAGACGTCAGCGGGCGCCGGGTGTATTAATTAAAAGTGCCGGTGCCTGTTTTTCCTTTGAACCAGCCAGCTTCATTCGAAGCGAAAGCCCGCTTCGGGGCGAGCACGCGATTTTCGTCAGAAATTCCTTTTTTCCTCCCTTTTCTCTTCTCTTCTCTTCCCTTTTTGCCCTTCTTCGACCGCCCGATCCGCCGCCGAAACGTCACGAATATTTTCAGCGAAACACGTCGCGCCGGATTATTGCTATTGTACCGTGCAATCGTCGCGGAAGAATAGAATACGTGTCAAATTATAAAGACACAATTCCTTTAAAATGGACGTTTCGAGGAACGTTCTTCGATTTGCAGCCGAATCGGTGGAAAATGCGTCTGAATAATTCACTCCCTTCGAGTTTTGCCTTTGATACTTTAATCTTTAACGCTGGAACGCTGAAAGTTTCAGAAAATCTGGGATCGCTTTACGTCCAAAAGGAAATTTCGAATTCCGAGGATATTCTTTGACCCCGTGAACGTGCTAGAGTTCAGAGTCGTAAGTAGAAAATAATCAAACGGCTTTTAACTCGCAGTCTATGGTGAATAATACGGTCTATAGCCCTTTCTATCGCTGATTTAACTCGATTACCTGCATGCACTACCCAAACAGTTCCATCGTTCGATTCCGCTCCTTTCAGGCGGTTGGTACCATTCGGAACGTGTTCCATTGATCGATTAAAACGGGTTAAAAGCAGCTTAGCCAGAGGATTGAAATAAAATTTGGATGTATCGCGAGGCGAGGTGTCTCTGCCAAGACGAATCGCTTTCACCCTCGGGTTCACCCTCGCGTTCGAGGATGTGGAGATTGAGCCTTTCACGGGGTGGATAGCAAATTTTTCTCACGTACGCGCCATATAACGTTCCCGTGAAAAATGAATTTTCCTTAACCGTATTCCCAGCTATACGGGACGCTTTATTTAGCCTGTTTAATCCGCGCGCGTGAAGCGGAAGATAAATCCGACGACGTCTCAGCCTCGGAGTCGTAAATCGAGCGTCCCGACGCTGGCCAGGAAAGAGAGATCGCTGCGTCGTTTAGATGGCTGCCGGCACAGGTACCGCCCTTTCTGAATTCATTCTGGGCTTTTCAATTCCAAGACAAATAGCGTTGATAAAGGCGGAAGTATATTGTTATTGGCCAAGGAGGCAGACACATTTCCGCAGGCAGTATATTTGGCAAACGTTTATATACGGCGAACGATCGGCTCGCTGTAAATCCTTTCGTCGATCCTACGACGGCAGATTCTTATTACTTTCTCCGAGCGGAGAGAGCGGAAGCCATTCTAACGAATAAGAACAGCCGATCGATTACGCTCGGCTTCGAGTTGCACGCGTTGCTTTTCGCGTTTCCCATCGCGTCGCGAGTCTTTCACGCCAAGACGACTTCAAAGTTACGCGCCAGAACGACGAGGGTTGGATCGCCTCGATGTCCCGGGGTCTTATCTTTAAAGCCACCGTGAATCCCCGCTTTCGGATCGCTTAAGTAAGTCCTTTTCGGTCCGTTTAGCATTCTGATTTCCGGCGAGTTTTACGAACCCGGCTTCAACCCCCGAAATGGAAATTGAAACGCGATTGAAAAAGTTACCGGATTGCTTATGTTACCCATTTATACTCCCTCGCTCGCGTCTTCGTTGGCTAATTAATCGCTTCGTGACTGGTGAACGCTTGCTTTCGTTGGAGGATTGGAAATACATATTTGTTGCTAGGCTTCCGAAGAGGTGTCTATCCGTGCGAATGCTCTCGTGGCCCCAGAGCTGGCACTGACGTAAGATCGCAGAACCACGATGGCCTCGATGACTTGGCGAAGATCCTAAAGAAAGATCTTGGGACAGAGATCAGCTTAGCGATTTGAAAGTAGCGATTATGGCACTCTTCGAAGCTCGCAGGATCAGGGTCACTCCAGCGATCCGTAGATGGTGTGACTGCGAGTATTACGATGTGGGAGATCTGATTGCGAGGACTACGAAGATCTCTGCGATTTCCAGGCGATGCTAACGAAGGATCGAAGGATCGAGGCTAGTCTAATGACGTGAAAGTGGCTTGGCGAAAGATCGCAGTACCGCGGTGACCTCCGTGATTCGGAAACGGTACCGGGGAAAGATCAAGAGATCCAACTCGCTTTAGGGATCTAGAGATGATTCGATGGAATATTGCGGTATTGGCATGATCAAAGGCATATTAATATCTCGAAAATGACGCGATGGAACATCGCGAAACTTGGACCGACCTCAGTGACTCATAGACAGTCTTGTCATCGATACCACATTGCCATTAATATCCCGGCGACCTGAAAGTAGTTCCTACGATATTATTTTCTACGATAACCTAACCCAAAGCAGTAGTCAAGAATAATTTACTCGGAGTGCATTTTACTGCGATGAAAGTGTGACTCGGAGAAACTCGCACAGTGGATGCAGCGTGTCTACCGATATTTAGAGAAAATTATGGCGATAAGAGAATTAAGAAAAGAGGAACACTTCGGACACGGGAAGAGCACAGGGACGCTTAGATGCGAAATGTAGGAATAAAAAGGAAGAAAGTAGACAGCCCGAGGATAGCAAAAAATGGAATTCAGTGGCAAAAGAACGAGCGCAAGGGCACCAGGAGGAATACCAGCGGTGGAGTTACAAGCAACGTCATAAAAAGAAGAAATAGAGTCAGGTCACTAGGAGAAATGAAATTTTGCTCGCGAAAATACGCAGGCTACGTTTCGAGATGTTTCAAATTCCGCTGCTATGCCTTGTGCAAACTGCTCGCGATATGCAAATGATCTTCGAAGGATGGATCATAACGCGGTTACAAGTTGCCCGTTTGCCGAATCAAAGAACAGGGGAACTAGGTTCGATTCGCTGGTCGGGTCTGAATGAAAAGTCAGGTGTATCGCGGGTAATCATTTGTTGGGTCCTCGGCGTAGCATCCCGAGTCGAGAAACGATTCATTCTGTGAGCGGTACGTACTCGAACTGGTTTTCACGAGGTTCCACCGTCTCGTAGATCGAAGAATCCTTTTTCATCCGGCGGCTTAATCACGAGGGCCCGTGGTGTCTCTAATTTACATCCCGTATCTTTGTCCCGTTTAAAAAAGCTCGGCCGCCGGAAGACGAATTGCACGGGCCTGTAATTATTCGAAGAAAGAGGAACGGTGGACGCGGAGGGCAGAGAGCGGCTGATATTTTTTCAAGAGACGAATGTAGAAGAGGAAATGTTAGGCGGGGGTGAAGAAGCCCGACGACCGGAGACGGAGGAGCCGGCTAGAATGGTTTATTGCGTGTGGAGATAATGGAACGATGCGGGTTTCGCTCGAGTCTTTGCCTTCAGAATCGCTCCAAGAATCCATGCACCCGACCTACGATCCTCCGGCTTATCAATGGGGGGTTGTTTTAACGCGGTCGTAGCAGGTGCTAATAGGATTAATCGATCTAAATCCATTCTCCGGCGGCTGATCGCCGGTGAATTTTTTCACCCCTCGATAACGAATACGAACCAACAACGGCTCCCCTTCCATTAAAGTTCCACTTGGTAAAACAATTTAACCTTTTTACCCGGGGATCCAGCCTTAACGAGCAGTTACGTGTTATTTGAATACGCATAGCGCGCTGTTTATTTCCGTCCCGGGGTCCGTACCTACGAACGGCCGGGGCCAAGTGAGCTTTATTCTTGCGGTTTTAAATTGCTGCTCGACCGGCGGGTCCTTCCATTAATCGCGTCCGAAAAAATATTCCACGGACCGTGCACGCCGACCCGTTG